TCAACTCGCCATGTTTGGAGGAGGAGCAATGCTGCCTATGACCCCAAGAACACCATCCCCACCGTCAAACACGGAGGTGGAAACATTATGCTTTGGGGGTGTTTTTCTGAGAAGGGGACAGGACAACTGCACCGCATCAAAGGGACAATGGATGGGGGCCATGTACCGTCAAATCTTAGGTGAGAACCTCCTTCCCTCAGCCAGGGCATTGAAAATGGGTCATTGATGAGTATTCCAGCATGACAATGACCCAAAACATACAGCCAAGGCAACAAAGGAGTGGCTCAAGAAGAAGCACATTAAGGTCCTGGATTGGCCTAGCCAGTCTCCAGACCTTAATCCCATAGAAAATCTATGGAGGGAGCTAAAGGTTTGAGTTGCCAAATGTCAGCCTCGAAACCATAAAGACTTGGAGAGAATCTGCAAAGAGGAGTGGGAAAAAAAATCCCTCCTGAGATGTGTGCAAACCTGGTGGCCAATTACAAGAAACGTCTGACCTTTGTGATTGCCAACAAGGATTTTGTCACCAAGTACTAAGTCGAAGGGGTCAAATACTTATTTCACTCATTGACATGCAAATCCATTTATAACTTATTTGACATGCGTTTTTTTGGATTTTTTTTTTTTTTGTTGTTATTCTGTCTCTCACTGTTAAAATACACCTACCATTAAAATTATACACTGATCATTTCTTTGTCAGTGGGCAAATGTTCAAAATCAGCAGAGGATCAGATACCTTTTTTCCCCCTCAATGTAGAAGGAATTCAGCCTTCCATCCATTACTGGTGTTTAGAGATGGAGTAAATGAAGAGGCGTGCAGTAGGCATCACAGTCTTCTCTTCCTCTCAGCATAAGTAGAAAACCAGAGCTGCTTGTCAGCATATGCAGTCCTTCTCAATGAGGGTGCTAAAGAGATATTCGGGGTGCATCACAAACCACCAGAACCCCCTTATAACCGCCACTGGTTGTGAGTGATACATTTAGATCTTTCCTGCATATATCTTCAACTATATAAAGTGTACTGTGTAAAAATTTTCATTACACTGGACCTGTTATGTATTGAACAGTGATCCTCCAGGTAAACTGTGGTGGTCTTTTAGGATTGTCATAAAAGGTGTTAAGGGGTAATGCGTTAGCAAAGATGTTTCAATTGGATTTTTGCACTAATCACTTTCAGCTGTATCAAACAAAGCAAATGCTTGTCAATCTATGGACAAACAAATTGATATGTTTAGGGGTTGCCAATCGAATAGATTTTTTGCATGCACAGGTATTTGATTGCTTTAGACTTGTGCACTAATCCCTTTCAGCAGCGTCCATTTCTATTGTTAAGTTCAATGAAGTGGTCTGGGTGCAAGGTCCATCTAGGGTTAACCCTACAGCTGTAAACATAGCAGTTTCATAGAAACTGCTATGTTTACATTAGGGTTAATCCAGCCTCTAGTGGCTGTCTCATTGACAGCCGCTAGACGCGCTTCCGCGTTTCTCACTGTGAAAATCACAGTGAGAAGACGCTGCCATCCGTAGGAAAGCATTGAGAAATGATTTCCGATGGACTGATTGAATGCGCATGCAGCTCTTGCTGTGCATGCGCATTCAGCGCTGACGTCCGAAGAGGGAGGAGAGTTCCCCAGCGCCGGCCTCCCTTGGTAAGTGATTAACCCCTTAATCCCCCTTGAGCCTGGCAGGAGGGTGGGGGGGACCCAAAGACCCTAGAATCCCAGGAAAATGAGTTTGTTTTTCTGACACTATAGTGGTCCTTTAATAATTTTAAGTCAAAACACATATGAGGCGTTCACCTGCAACAGCTGATTATTCATTTCTGGCTGGGTTGCTAGTCCAACCCCTATATAATCCTTTATCGCCTTGGGTTTTCCAAATATTTAAAAGTAAATTGTGTTAATAAAATTTAAAAATCGAGAAAAAAAATTTAAATGATTAGTCCTGTATGTGAAAACATCTCATGTCTAGGATGTCAGTGACTTATTGGAAGATGTGAATTGCTGTTTTAAAACATTAAACATTGCAAATTCTGTGGGGTCTATAAGTCCCCTACCAGTCTCCTAATCCAAAAATGTTCACATTGCTCATGTAACCATTTAAGCACTTTCCTCTGCCAAAACTGCTGGTTATATTTAATACTTTGTATTTTGTTTTTTGTTTTTTTTCTTTTACACACGTTTCATTTTTGTAGTAATTTTCCACAAATATTGTGTGCCCCATTACAGTAAATATCCTAGATTTGTATTTCTCGACTGACCATTGACACATTATTGATAAGCTATTGCTGTTGGGTCAAATTACAGACATGCTAATTTAAATGTTTTATTTATTAACCGATTTATTAGGCTCATGTAAATTCTGTTACAAAAGAGTAGTCCCAACTGCAGTTTACCCACGTCCTGGCATAACATATTCAAAAGAAGATAATCTGTGTTTTTGAGTATATTTTAGTGTGATGCCCAATATGTGACAGAATTTTATTTTTTTTCTTTAAAGTTAATGAAACTTAATAATATATTTTTTTAAAAAGATGTAAGATTTGATGACTGATGTACTTTAAAGTGGCACTGTCATGCCGAACTTATCTCTCTTTAATCGCTTCCTCTTCTCTCCCCCTGACCATCTCTGACCAGCGGAGTGTGCTCTGTTTCCTGTGGTCAGAGAAATTTTCCCACAATTCTTACCTTTCCTCCGTGATCTCGCGATGCTTTCTGTCAGTATTCCTGAACGTCCTGTCACTTAAACAGAACGCCGGCGAAACCACTGAATTTCGTCATAACAGAATGAGAACAGTTTGTTCATTCATGTTAGGACACAATTCAGGACTTTGTTCAGATCGGAATTTAATTTGAATGAGTGAAACTCCGATCCTATTCGTGCCATGGTAGCATCTTGCAGCCACTTAGTAGATAACTCCCTAATTTCCAAGGTATCAGGTAGCTATCTACCTAAAGTGGTCTTTCAGCCAAATTTACTAATACTAAGTAAAGATTACTTAGTATTAGTAAATTCTGCCCCTACGCTATAATGCGAGTAGGGGCATGTCTAGTAAACAGTGAGCAGCCTCTGCCCATGAGCGGCAGGTGGGAGTCCTAAATTACAATAGGGGGGGACCTATTGTCCTCCCCCGGCCCGCACCCATGAGCGGCGGGTGGGGGCCCTAAATGAAAACTGTCCTCCCCCTTGCCCCCACCCATGGGCGACGGGTGGGGGCTTAGTGTACAAATAGACCCCCCTCCCCAGTGACTAGGGGACCCCAAGCTCCTAGTCTCCCCCCACCCAAATAAAATTAAATCAATCCCTACCTATCCCCCTCACCCTAAATATAATGAGGGGAAAGACAATAAAACTAAATACCTGGGGGGAAAAAATAAATAAATCAGACTTACCATTAGAAGTCTTCTTTTTTTCTAAAACCTTGTTTCTTCAGCCCCAAAAAAGGACAAATAATAAAAAAAACATAATACCTGTCGAACTTATAAAAAAAAAAAAAACCAGAGCGCAAAAAAATTTTGCCCCCCAAAAAACAGATGCTAAAAATGAATCTTCACCTGGCGAGGGCACGGCGCAGACTGAGCTCCACAGGGCAGAGAAAGGCTTATACAGCCTTCCCAAGCCCTGCAATTTGACTCAGAACAATCCAACCAATCAGAGTGCTAGTCATTTTACACAGCGTGGGAAAGTTCTTTGGAATTTTCCCACGCTTTGTAAATTAAATCAGAGCACTCTGATTGGTTGGATTCCAAGCCATCTGACCTAATGACTCCCATCAGATGGCTGCCTATATAATGCTAGATCTCCTCTTATATTTAAAAGCTGTCATTTTGTGTGAAGGTGTGCTTTCAGTTTCTTAAAATGTATGTGATGAAAAAAGGATGAAATGTGACGTCTCATATTACTATATATGGTTTTACTATGGTATTACGTACCATATTACTTAGGGGTCCATGTTTTGTGTTTCTTACACCAGGCTATACAACTTTAGCATTGATACAATTCCGATTTTTTTTTAATTTTCAGTTCTGAAGAATTTTGGTCAGAAATGTTTTGGTTCCATTTGACAAATTTTGGATTGATATGAAAGTTGCTTCAGAAACCTAAATGCTAATGAAATAATCAGACACATGACCCCAGCCCCCTCCTCTACTCACATGCTTTCATATGTATCCAGACATGTTCTTCTCATGCTAGATTCGGAGGCTGTTAATGCAAGTTCTTCCTGTGAAATGGGTTCCTTTTGGGGATGTGCAGGGGCAAAATATTCGGTTTGGTTTGGCATTCCGAAAGTCGGGACTTCAGCACTTCAGTTCGGTTTGGCATTCCGAAATTCGGGACTTCACGACTTCGGAACTTCAGTTCAGTTCGGGACTTCGGATATGTTCTCTTGCAGCAGCTTAGTAGATAACTCCCTAATGGCCACGGTATTAGGGAGCTATCTACCAAAAGGCTAAAAGACCTAAATTGGTCTTGCAGTCAAATTTACTAACACTAAGTAAAGATTACTTAGTATTAGTAAATTCTGCCCCTACTCGCTATACCGCGAGTAGGGGCATGTCTAGTAAACAGTGAGCAGCAGCCTAAAATACCAATATGAGGGGGTACCTATTGTCCTCCCCCCTGGCCCTCATCCCTGAATGGCAGATGGGGCCCTAAATTAGAATAAGGGGGGACCTATTGTCCTCCCCCTGGCACCCACCCTTTAGCGGCGGGTGGGGACCCTAAATACCAATAAGGGGGGGACCAACTGTCCTTCCCCTGACCCCCACCCCTGAGCGGTGGGTGGGGCCTCTAAAGTGATCCCAAACCCCTAGTAAAAACCAGAGCGCAAAAACACATCAGACGGGGAAAAAAAACCCTTATGCTGAAAAAGTAATCCATCTTCACCAGTGGAAGGCTCCGTGCAGACAGACTTATGAAGCCTTGCCCAGCCCTGCAATGAGGCTCAGAGCACTCTGATTGGTTGGTTGTACACAGCGTGGGAAAGTTCTTTGGAATTTTCCCATGCTGTGTAATTTGATTCATAACAACACTCTGGGTTGATTGAAAGCAACCAGAGAGTTATGAGTCAAATTACACAGCATGGGAAAATTCCAAAGAACTTTCCCACGCTGTGTAAAATGACACAGAGCACTCTGATTGGTTGGATTTCAAGTCAACCAATCAGAGTGCTGTGACAGGTAAATGTAGAGACTTACCTATCAGTCTCTTCATTTACCTGTCCGATCACTCTGATTGGTTGGTTTAAAGCAAGCAACTTATTCTACTTTAGGGCCCCCCCGCCCCCTGCTGCTCAGGGGTGAGGGCCTGGGGGAGGACAATAGGTCCCCACCCCTTATTCTGATTTAGGGCCCCACCAGCCGCTCAGGGGTCGGGGCGGGGTGGGGAAGACAATAGATCCCCCCTTATTCTACTTTAGGGGAGTCGGACGATAGGTTCCCCCCTTTCTTATTCAGGGCCACCACCCGCCGCTCAGGGGTGGGGGCCGGGGGGCAATAGGTCCCCCCTTCAGTTTAAGGAGGCTTGGGAGGGGGGACACTTGGGTTTTTTTTGTTTGTTTTTTTACAGTGAGCAGCCTGTGGCTTTACTAGACATGCCCCTAGAATTTACTAATACTAAGTAATTTTTACTTAGTTTAGTAAAGTTGGCTAAAAGACCAATTTAGGTCTTTCAACCTTTTGGTAGATAGCTCCCTACTACCGTGGGAATTAGGGAGTTATCTACTTACATATACCCATCCATTGACTGGCTAAGTAACTTACATTTTATATGAACGTGTTACTTGATTGTTGTAAGTGTTCCAAATGCTTACAGCTGAATCCTGGCTATGTGTGTATACTTTTTATTTAAACTGGTATACAGTGTAACATTCTTCATTCTTCCACTGGGTATATTAGTACTTCGGCAATTCTGTGCTTCGGCTTTTCGGCAAACCCGAAATTTGGCACTTCAGCTATTCGGACATTAAGTGCTTCGGGACTTCGGTTCGGCATTCCGAAATTCGGCCCTTCGACTATTCGTACATTTAGTGCTTTAGGACTTCGGCAGTTCAGTTTGGCACTTCCGAAATTCGGCACTTTGGCACTTCGGAAAATCGGCAATTCAGCTATTCGGACATTCGGAAGTATCCCGAAATTCGTCCGAATTGACATTCAAAACGAAACAAATTGCACATGTCTAGTTCCTCTAATATATTATCTCTCAAGCTATCCAAACCTGGGCAGAGTACTGGCCCAGATGGCTAAACGATAAAGTACTATAAAACCTATCTAGGCATCCTCAACACACACCTACTCCACATGCTTAATGCTATCCATGAAGGTAGCTCGATAAACCCGTGTATTTTCACAGCTCACATTGTGATTCTCCATAAAGAGATTTGCAAAAATTCTGGAACCCCACCTACGACCACACATGCCTAAAGTGGTGCACCCATACCAGGTGGAATTTGTTCAAGGCAGGGAGGCACAAGATAATATGACCAGAGTGCTTAACCTGATTTAAACAGACAACAGATCCCTTCCTTTCTCATTTTGACAGATGTGGAAAAGGCGTGTGACAGTTGATTGTTTTTTTTCTGTTTGCAATTCTTCAAAACATAAGGCTGGGTACCACCATGATAGCTTAGATTGCTACTCTATATTCGCAACCTACAGCACAAGTATACGTCAATAGTATGTTGTCTAACCCCTTCACAATCATAAACTGAACAAGGCATGTATGTGCCGTATCTCCCCTCTTGTTTGCTCTGAGTCTAGAGTCTTTCCTGAATGCAGTGAGAAGCAACTCACACAATTCTCCAGTGAGGAACAACCCACACAATTCTCCAAAACATAAGGCTGGGTACCACCATGATAGCTTGGATAGCTACTCTATATTCACAACCTACAGCACAATTATACGTCAATAGCATGTTGTCTAACCAATTCAATATTAAAAAAAGAACCAGGCAGGGATGTGCCTTATCTCCCTTCTTGTTTGCTCTGAGTCTAGAGTCTTTCCTGAATGCAGAAGGGAGCAACCAACAAATCATGGAGATCAGAGGGGGTTTGAGAGGTGGTCTGAGTGATGGCATACACAGATGACTGATTCTGCTGAGTCTTTATGCATGAATTATACACTTTTGGGTTCTTTTCTGGCCCAATATAATGCTGCTGCCAATTCTACACGGTTTAGTGAATAAAGTAAATAGTATGCAGAAATGTAGCAGTTACCTTTACAATGTCCATTTTGAAACACGATATCATCAATTGCAACATCACTTCTTATTGAAATTCCACGAACAGCTTCAAAAATAATCTAGAAGAACAAAAGACAAACAACAACAAAATATGTTTTTATGAGCTGTGTATATTAGCCATTATTTTAACATAACATTTAGAAAAATTTACAAAATGCTTTAAAAATACAATGGAGTGGTGTTTGTATAAATAATATATACATTTGAAAAGTATTGGTTGTTGGGGGAGTTTTCTAGGAACCATTTTGTTTATAAATTGCTTTGGAAAAACTGTAATGCATACAATGTTCGTAATAATCATTAGTGCCTAGTCTGAATGTGTTGGAGGACTTGCAGTTGTTGAAGACATTTGGTTGTCTGTGGTGCTAGGGGGTGGTGTTTTGTCTTAACTTCCTCTCCCCATCTCTCTTACTATGCTGCCATTTCGCCTTTGAGATATATATATATATATATATATATATATATATATATATATTATATACATGCTTTGAGGTAATACCACTCAATACCACACAAAATTTTGACCTTTAGGTTATGGGCCCTGAATGTTCTGGGACACCGTGCAAGAGTCCCCACCTGCAGCAGATGCAGAAAGAATCAAGTGGGAGAAAAAGGACAGAAAAATAAGAGCTGATATGATAGTGAAAACTTTAAGACAGCTATGGATTTATAGGAAGACTTAGAAGAATTGTGTGGGAGTAGAGTCTAAATTAAAGACTTTAGCAAGAAAACTTTTCAATATAAAGCTAACAAAGAGTGGAGACCTAGAAAAATTGCAGAATCAAATGTTAGAGTTAATTGATCATTTATATTCTATTAGAAAAAAAAAATTGATGAATGAAACAACGTTGATTTTATGAAGTCTTCCAGATAGCTATAATTCATTAGCTTTCTGAATGTCTACGTAAAATTAATTTCAGCACTACTCCTGCAACATGTTGATGGACGCCGGCCGCTGAGGATCCACGGCAAATTATAGCCCCACGTCCGCCCATGGTGATGACTTCGTCGGCGTGCGTATGACGTCATGCGGGAGGCGCGCAATTTCGGCCAATCAGATTTGTACAAGGCTTATTTAAACGCATTTTTACTTCTCCTCATTGCCCTGTCATGGTTTCCCCTAGTGGTTGTCCGAGAGTGTGTTCCTGAGCGTTTATTTCAGGTTATTGACTTTGGCTTAGTTTTGACTTCCCTGTATTCTGGTATCCCTGACTTTTGGCTTTCCCTCATCGTTGTGTTCCATTCTGTGTCCCCAACCTCAGCAAGTATTCTGACTATTCTTTGGTACGTTAAGTCCGGCCATTCTAAGGCCCGGTAGGACGTTACCTTTTAGTCCTAGGTGTGATACAGTTCTATGTGCTGGATCAACTAGTAATCCTAACAATAAAATACTGAAAAGCATATCATAGTCATATTTACGTTAGGCTGAGTCCAACAAGAAAACCATCTTAAAACAACAGTCTGGTATGTTCCCAGACAGGCATTCCCCACTTCCCCTTTTCTCCTCATCTTATGTTTTGTAAGATTATAAACCTCAAATGTATTGCTAAATATGAAATGGGAGTGAACAGTTAAACTATGGCCAAGAGGCATCAACTCACTTCTGTTATATGTTGACATATTCTAATGTAAGTACAATGGAGACCTGTGAGTCTCCCAGGTGATCATATGAGAGAGAAGGGTCCTGCACAACCAACTTTGTATATGCCAAAGCAGAACAGTTCTCTCTTGTATTTACTGATGTAATTGTACTTTAAGAAAAACTTGTAAGTAAAGAATATGTTTACAAAAAAAAAATACCATTCAAGGCAAAACATTGCCATTTTGCCACTGTAAATACTGAGTGAAATGTGATTTTGCAGCCCCCATAGTAAAGCATAGATTCAATTGACTATTCTCAACACTAATGACAAAACAGACAAGTTCCATAACATTTATATTATTTATCTGACTCCAACATGGTTATTTATTATACCCTGAATTAAACAAACGAAAAGTCGAATGGCACAATGATAGAATTCAGATATAGCAAGTAAACTCCACAGTGTACTATCTTTCATAAATTATTTTTATAATGCATTATTAAGCCACTTAACAAAAACATCTAATTAAACATGTTAAACACAAAACTCTCATCTTTCATAGCTCACTACAAAAAAAAGTGTATCCCTGTCTTCTTGGTTGAAATTACATATTATTGATGCATATTATGGATATTAATTAAGCCTGAGTGAGATGTGTCACTAGTGCTGTCATATGCTATTAGACAGAAATAAACAGCAGATTTATCACACTCATCAGATTTGCTTTTTTTTTTTTCCAAATCTGATCTGAAGCATGGAAGCAAAATGCATGCTTAGCAGCAATCAATACATCTCTTCAGCTTCATTGCACATTTATGGCCAATCTCCCCTCCTGTGTAATCAGCTAACAGCACAAATACAAGCTGTGGTGGGATAAATGATTGGCAACGTGCTCACAATATCACAATAAGATTTAATTACTATGAAAACAGCAAATTAACAGTAATGGCATTCTTAAATTAAAAATACGCCATTATATCTATGCTTTGAGAAAATACAGTTGGAAATATTTGGTCTTATTTACAATGCTACAAGTGTACCTCTGAACTGGAAATAAAGGAAAAGTCTCTATATGTGTAATTACAAAAGGTAATCTGCGGCTTATTTGTAGATTAACCCCAAACATGCAATTATAAGTGGCACTACTGTTTTTCAAGTACCAGTGTGCATATTGTTATCTTATTTGGAATTACTTGCAAATTGTCCAAAATTGGTACATTTAAGACAAGTAAATTGAATGAAAACAACAAAATCCACCACTTTCT